GATGCCGGTTCCAGTGTATCAAAAAGTACCTGCGGAGTTCAGTGGGAATGGCCACAACGGAGTGTGTGCAAAACAGGGCGTGGTCGACCGTGTAGGAAGGTATCAGCTTGCAGCTCATGAAAAACTCCCTGGGCGAGATGTGAGGTCAGATGAGAATATGTCAATCACAAATTGGCAAGGAGAGATTCGATCGATCTGTCGAATGTGTATCTCACTTCTACAGAGCAATAGACTTGGACGTCATCATCTCCGATCATCTGCGTTAATTGGCTCTAAATCAAATAACTCCGGATTGCGGGATATCGCAGCACTTGGTTTCAGGCTATCATGAAACCTTCACCATCGGTGATTCGTGCGACAAATTTACAAGCAGCATGCACAACATGCATGCCAAGACAATTCTGCACTGGGACACTTCGCGCATAGGATGTGCCAAACATATCGGGCACAAAGATGTGGAGGAATGTCGGACTGCCCTTGAAACGGGGGGATATATGTATATTTATATATACATGTATATATATATATATATATATTGGAGGCCCCCTATGAATCAACCAGGGTTTTTTTTCCTCATGGGTTCTTATGGCATCGCAGCGTCTCGAGTGTGCTCCCCTGCGCTTGCCACCGTGCTCCAATCTTCCGTGCTCCGGGGCCGCGGGAAGGCATCATAAGGCCAATGCCCTTTGTGCATATGATTATGCATAAAGGGCATTTGCATTTGCCTGACTTCATAACCTGCATCTTATGCAGCACTGAAAACTGTTGCAGGAGGGTGCGTATCCCAACTGCTTTTTCTGATAGCTGGTTTATCCAAGGTGAGGTCAGAAGAAACTTGTCGAGCACATCTCGCGAAGCTCAACTCCGCCTTGAGAAAGCTTCGTCGTGTTGCCATCTTAGCCTGTTCGATCTGCCCCAAAAACCACCCTCTGATCAGCCACGGCTGTCAAATCACTTCGCAAACTACCCGCAAATAAGCCACAAAGCTTGACCTGGTCCGTTTTTCTTTTTGTAGCTTATTGCAGGCCCATGTTGAATTTGTCTGATTCCACACGTGCCCAACCCGACTACCCAAGGGCGCCCGAAGCGGCCCAGCGCGTGGGCAGCCAGCACCTTGCGCCGCGTCTGCAGCGCCAGGCGGCTGGCCTGGAGGACGAGCGGACGGTTCGGCAGCTGGGAGGCGGCGCCTCCGTTCCTCGAGCTAAAGGCGGCCAACGATTTACGCCGTTGCCTGTGACTGTTCTTTCATGGGCGTGCTACAAGTGCTCTGGGAAGACCCTTCACGCAATCTCTTGCAGGTGTTGAAGAAAACTAGGATCACCCCCCAGACCAAATTTCCCTGATTTGAGACATGCCCGGAAAGCTGCAGGCAATGATGTTGGGAGGTCCCAGACTAGGTCCATCAGAAACCGGCGTGACTCGCTTTGTTCGGCCGCGCTCAGCGTCTCAAAATGCCTGACAATGTCTCAACATGTCTCAGAACATCTCGATGACGTTATTGAGATTGGCCCCATGTCCTTTCCTCCCACCCGGCACTCCCTCGCGGAACCCGTGCCTCTCGGTAGCGCCACCCTGCGGCGGTCGCGTGGTTTCGCTCCGCCAGCCACTTGGCGTGGTAGTAGAGGCGCAGTGCCTGAGCCCCGCAGACCCTTCGCTCGGGCACAGCAAATGGGCTCTCGGACGTCGCTGGGAGGGAGGGGATCTCTCTATATATATATATATATATATCACCCATGGACTCACCTATGCGGCCTCAAAACTGCTTGCAAAGAGGTGATTCAGACATACACCAGAGAAGGCTTTGCATGTGTGCACCGCTGAACGCAGATTTGGAACATGAGTTGCAAAATAGCTCCTGCCGTTTTTAGTCCTCCCTGAACCCCGGCTCCGCTCCCCCGGCTCCCATCCTCCCACGTCCTGGACCCGTCCCTCCCTGCCGGCACTCTGGGCCCCCCAGACCCGCTCCGCCAGCTTCCTGCGCTGCTCCTCCTGGGGCGCCGCCTCGGCGGAAGCCAACAGCTCCTCCAGGCGCGGCCAGCCCCCATGCGTCCGCGTGGCTCTCAATGCGGCGCCTTCTTTTCCCACCCAAAAGCGGGTTTGACCCAAAAGAACGTTGACCCCGGAGAAACCAACGTCTCTGTTGGGGAGCCCAAAGTCTCTTTTGCCGGATAAAGAAAGGCACATGATCCAGTATCACGTGATAGAGTAGCACATGACGGCACATGGGTTTAGTAGGCACCTTTTCCAGTGTTGATTTCACTGATCCGAACTTGCAGCTCGCTCCTCCGCCCGCAGCATCTGCTTGGGCACGCCGGCCTGGGACCCCTTCCGGTCGGAGGCCTGAGAAAAAGCAATCGACAGGTGCGCCAGACGGCCTTTAAGCAGCGCCTAGATGTGTTGCAAGACAAGAAACACTCGGAAAAGAGAGAAAAAAAGAAAGGCTTTTCGGTGAGACCTATGGCACACAGCCCCAGCCAGCCCATCGACGGCACATGCTTCTGCCTTTTTCACTAAGACCTGCCAGCTGAGCCCTTGACCCAGGGCCCAGCAAAGGACTCGCCGGCAATGCAGGCCTTTTTGCTGAAGTAGAGGCCTCACGCCGAGGCGCCTCCCACACTCGGAGTCGAGTTCAAACGCAGGTATGGTGCGGCATGTTTCGCTGGTATGTTTCGAAGGAATGTTTCGAAGGAATGTTTCGAAGGAATGTTTCGAAGGAATGTCTTGGAGGTATGTTTTCGAGGTAGGTTTTGGTCTAAAGCTCAGGAAATTGCAGGTGAGGAGCGGGGTATGTTGCAGAGGTGTGTTTCCTCTGGGTATGTTTCGGGGGTATGTTTCGATTAGATCGAACGTGCCTCCCTGTCTTGTGCCTTTTGCCAGGGTTTTGAGAAAGACCCCGGATTGATAAATCCCTTGCTTATTGATATGCGCTTGCAGGTTTATGTGCGACAACCACCCCAAGCAATGCAAAAAAAAAATTCAGCGCTGGCGCGTGCGCTGAAAAAACAAACAAACAACTAACCCATCGCACCTTCCAAAGCTGTCCAATTGACCCTCCAGGTCGACAAGTTTTAGTTGGGGGTAATCACCATGTGAAAGTTTCTGCCGCGCTGTCCAGCGCAGCTTCCTCTTTCCGAGGCCCCGCGCCCCAGGCGAACTCCGCCTCCCAGCCGGCGGACTCGGGCACCTGCGGCATCTCCGGGGCGGCGTCTGGTGGCCTCGCGCTCCGCTGCCAATGGCTAGTGCCGCCCGCTTTTTGGCGATCCTCGACTGCATATTTGGACGTAACCTTATCATTGTGTTGTCCTCACATCTGTCACAAAGGGTACCACACAATTGAGGAATCAGTGCAAGTGTTCTTTGTGAAACACCGCGTGTAAGTCATTCCGTGCGTTTGGCTGCAGTTACTACCCACTCGACTTCACAAGGAAGCATGAGATTTCGCCTGAGCTTTAAAGTTTTCAAGCAGTGTGTACGACGCTGAGGTCGGCGCTCGATTGCTGCACCTGGACTCAGGAAACTCGCAATTAGGCAGGGTTCGGGCCCACCACGTCTGCAGGCGCCAACCACAGATTTGACTCTCTTGTCCGCGAAAAAGAACATGTGGGAGTGATCTGATGGCAAAACCGCTGCCATCTCCCTACCCCTCCTTGTTGCTTGGGTTTACACGTCAACCTGCTTCCGCCTTTTTAGGGCATGCTTTGTCCGTCCTGACTCCCCTTCTCTCCCTTTCTCTTCCACGCCTTGCGCTGGTCGGTTGGAATCCGACTCCGAGGTCTCCACTCGAGACCTGTCCAAAAGGAACAGCCATTTGTGCCATCCTCCCAGTTGCTCCCGAAGTTTGATGTCAAGTTGCATCAAGGTTCTTAGCTTCCTTCAACCCAAGCAAGACTATGCGATCCTCATGCTATTAATTCGCAGTCGCTCACTTGATTTCCGGTCACTTACCCCCCGCCCCTCAGCTTCGCTGCAAACCTTCCGAACAGCACCGAGCTTCCCGCTGCTTCGCAGGTATCTTGGCAGTGGCGCTTGGCTGCGTCCAGGCCTGCAGATGGTGTCAAGCCCCTGCATCAGCAACATAAGGCTACTATGTATACCGGTCGCAGGATTGAACCCTGGCAAACAAATATTCCTGGTGTCAAAGACCCACCCCTCCAAGCTTCCACTGAGCATGAGTCCATGTGCAAGACCCTCTATGTGCCCGGCATCCCCCACATCCACCTAAGCGCACCAGCGAATGCCCCAAGGTGGCACCGTCGCTGCTCGCCACACGACAAACAAATGGAAACCATGGGCGAAAGAGCGGCCCTGCAACCTTTGGATGAGGATGGAATAGCTCCGAACGCAAAAAAACCTCACGCGACGCATTGATCTCTGAGGCAAGCCGCGGAGCCAAAGGATCCTGTGGCTGCGACGAGGCCTGGAGCCTCGGGCCAAAAAACCAATGGGAATGCCGGGTGCTAGCACACTCACCTACAAAACAGACTGAAGCTGTGGTAGGTTACTGAAAGTCGTCAAGGAAAGTATGAGCAGGGATTTCCCGCTGATTAGCCTGTGCTGGGAAATTTTGCTTTTGGCAGCGGCAACATTCCGCTGTTGAGCCAATCAAGTGAGAATTCCCTTCAGACGTGAAGCGTCAAGTCAAGCACCATTTGTTTTGGAATCAGGATTGCACGGCGGTCGGACGTTCAGTCCAATGCAATCACACAACTTGCGTACGCTTTTCTTCAGCATGCCGTGGACGCACCTGACCGTACAGGGCGAAGTGCCGCGTGGTCATTCGCTTCTGAGAGAGATGCTTCGGGCGAGTCCTTCCATCGCTTTCTGCGGCTCCTCCGATGTTCGTTTGAAGTCCTTGAGGTTTGGAGCAGGTGAACCGTCTGAGTCTTGAGGCTTGCCGCCGATGTGGCAAGTACAGGTACAGGGACCTCCGACCTTGCTGGCCGTGGTGGCAGGATGCACTGCTGGAATCACGCAACTTCTCTGAGGACGTGATGTCTCTCTCAGGTAGGTGTAAAGCTTTCATGGCCATAGCCCGATCTGTGCTCCCCAAACTCGGCCTGGGACACAGACTTCACCTGAACAGCAGACCGCAGATCTCCAACTCCAGGTCCAAAAAGACAAACCACGCCTGTCCCTCTTTCAAAGTGGCAGGTTCTGAATTTGCGAAGCCCCTGCCTGGCTCATGATTTCCTGCAGCTGCTCCTCCAAGTGTGCCTGCAGGGGTCCTTTCATCACCCCAACAGGCGTGTATGGCTTTACCTCCCGGCTCAAAAAGAAGAGAGAGAGGGGGCAAGGTATAACAACAAATTACAACAGCATAGACCCAGTTAGAACCCCTATTATAGCTTTCAGCTATCTGGGGAAAAAGCGTTGCCTTGGACTGCTCGAACTTCTCCTGGTCCTCCTGCGCGCAGCGCTCGCAGAGGCTCCGCGTCTCCTCCGGCAGCGCCTTCCAACGCGCCGCGCACTGGGCGCGGAAGAGCCCGGCCGCGCGCTCCTTGAGCCCCGCCAGCATGGCCGGCACCGCCTCCTCCGACTGCTCCTGCGACCGGCGGCCTGTTGGGGGGTGAACGGTTTAACCCCTGAAAAAGAGGCGGGGTTGAGGTGAAAGTGGCTTTTTGGTTTAGGGTTTTGGGTGGCTTTGGGGTTTTGGGGTTCGCTTTTTGGGGGTTTATGGCTTTGGGTGTTAGAATTCTGCCAAACATCGTGTAGGGGCTCGTCAAAGGAAACAAAGCAAACCCCCATTTGATCCCCCACCCTCCTTGGCCCAATGGCCCAAACCCAAGGATGATTCGAGCCATGCCAAAGGAACATCCTGACAACTGTCTGCTGAAACATCTTCAAGGGGCCCTGCTTTGTTTTGTCAAGGCTGTTCGGATATGTCTCAATGGCGAGGGACATTGAAAGGGCACGTCAGGAGCACACCGCGTGTTTAGGCCAGGAGCTTGCGGACAACATAAGTTCAGATCTGACCAGGAAGCCACCTCCTTGCTATACCAACCTTCATCTGTCCGAGGTTTGATTGTGGCTCTTGAAAGAGGTAAAGAGGTCCCTGTCACCCAGCCCCTCGACCGTGTTGGGCGCGGCTCCTCCAGCGCCTCTCGCAGCAGCTCCCTCTGCAGCTCCTGCGGCAGCTGCTGGCGCCAGAAGACGATGCCCGGGCGCGGCGCCGGCACGTTGGCCAGCCGCAGCCGCAGCTCCGCGGCCTGTGAGCAGACCAAAAGCCTGGGGGTCCCATCAACAAGAAAACAACCGGAAGCAAACGACGGAACTGGTGGGGACGCTCCAGAACACGTTTCAACAAAAGGCACAACACAAAACTGGGGAGGGGGAATTCTCGCATCCGGAAAACTGGAGGGGCCCACCCACGGCCCCTTGAGGAATTTGTTGGCCCCGAAAAAAATATCGTTGGAACCCTCCAAACTGCCCCAAAAACTGAGGATTGACACCCCATAGCTGTGGCTGCCAGGAAAATGAGCGGAAGGCTTTCTTCCCTCGGGCCATAAACCTGGACGTCAAAGGATAGCCATGAGACGCCCTTCCCCTTGCATTGGGCGCCCCCGGCTCGCCCGCCTGGCGCTCCAGCGCCTTGCGGCGCTCCGCCCACACCAGCGCCCCCAGCGGCGCCGGCAGCGAGGCCGACGCGGGCGGGAGCTCCCGGGCCGCCACGGGGGCGAGGGTACGCCACAGCTCCTGGCGACGTCAAGCGGCAAAAGGTGGGGTTTAGAGATTTTGAAAAAGAGAGAAGGGGAAATTAAAAGATAAAGCCAGCGCTAGGAATCTGTTCCAAATACCCAATAGGGTGTTGCTTAGCTTCCTGAGATTCCTGGAGGTTTCTCAGGCAGGAAACCCCGCACAAGGCGGCAATAGTCAACCCAAAGGCCAAAGGGAAACCTTTCCAGGAAAAGAAAACCAAAATGGCATTGCACGTTTTTCAGACCCACCAAAACGATTGGTGTCCTTTTGGCTTCTTTATTTCAAATCCAACCAAAAACCGGAAATCTCCCTAAAAAGACGACCCACCCACCTGCAATCAACCCCCCTCCTGTCAAGGCCTCAGCCCCCCCGAGGCACCGGGTTTCGAGGGCTCCTGGGAGTTGAGGCGTTGCGCCAGGTCCAGTGCCTCGGGCAGCACCTGAGGCGTCAGCAGCTTGGCCAACCTCGGCAAGACGCCTTTGGAATTTTGCCTTTGCGCCCGCTGTTGGAGCTTGGCACACCACATGTGAATATATTTATCTGTATTTATGTATATACACAAACTCGTGTGTGTGTGTGTGTGGGTGGGTGTATGTATGTAATGTAATGCAATGTAATGCAATGTAATGTAATGTAATGTCACGTAATGTAATGTGTGTATGTATGTGTGTGTGTCTGTCTGTGTGTCTGTCTGTCTCTGTCTGTCTGTCTGTCTGTCTGTCTGTCTGTCCGTCTGTCTGTCTGTCTGTCCGTCTGTATGTATGTATGTGTCTTGCTTGCGGGTATATTTCTTGGGATTGATTTGTTTGGGCTTGCTTTAAAGGGACATCACAAGCAAAGGGAGGTTTCCCCCATTCGGCTATGAATTTGGATGGGGAGCACCCCAAACATGGGCTGGTGGGTGTGGATCACCATGGCCAACTAAGGACCCCTCTTCAAACTCGGATTCTGACCAGACCGTTGCTCCAAAAAATGTTTTAATAATAATCACTTGTTTTTATTTATTGTTATTGTTACTTTTAAAAAAATGGCCAGCTGAATTGTTTCCAACCCCAAACCGAAGGTGGGTTCCACACCTGACCCCCCCGAAACGGCTTCCATTCATCGAAGCTGGGGCGCTTCTGGCCGCAGCGGTGCAGCAGCCCGGGGATCTCGAAGCAATCCGCGGCCGCCAGGAGGTCCATGGCCCCGAAGCAGTCGCTGACCTTCACCTCGTCGCAGTAGCACCACTCCACCAGCTGATCCAACAAGTCCTCGCTCTCCAAGCCAAGCGGGGGGGGGGGGGGGAGCTGGAGACTCATGAAAATCGCAAGGCGGCGAAAACTGGACTGGCAACAAGCGCGTTTTGCAGTGTTGTCAGGGGGGTGAAAAAAAATAACGCCTGGCACCCAAAGTCAAACAAGTTGGTGCCGGAGTGAGACATGGACATGCCAAACATTACACAGGCGTGCGTCCACAAAGGAAACACTTTGGCAACCCTCCTTCAGGGTTGTTTGACAGGAGAGGTCATGAGCCTTTGTCTTTGCTGGTTTTGAGGCTTGGTTCCTTTTTTGTCCCTTAAAACGTGCCCGTAACGGAAACTCTTCAAACATGACAAGCGCGTGATGTTCGCCAAAAAAAGACACAAGAAAAGACTCAACCCCCTGAAACTTGTTGCTGAGGAACAATTGTTGTCCCGAACTTCCCAAAAAGTCCCAATACTCAAAAAACAACATCAAGGTTAAAGGTCGAACAAGAGAGCAACCAAGTGAAGGACTGCACCTCTGTGCCTAGAAATCAATCCGTTGGGTCGCAAAAACAAGAAATGTGAAGTGAGTCAAAATGCAACCAACAATAGTATATAAAGAAGACGCAACAAGAAGGACCCCAGAAAAACGCCAGGCATCCCAACTCCCTCTCTTTAGGCAAACCCATTTGCCCATAGCGCTGAGCATCTGGGGACACCTCTGGCAGCTGCACGAGGCGCAATCCCTTGTCGTTTTTGTGGCCCTCCAGCATGGGAGAGGACAGCATCCTCTGGAAGACCTTGGACCTTGCTGCCAGGATCACGCTGTTGGCCTGGGGGGCGATTCAACTTCTCACTTCTTTCAGAGCCACCCAAATTTAGACAACCCCGCTTTCCCGTTTCCCGGGTCTTGCATCCCTGTTGGGTTTTGGGAGGCCGTACCCGTGGCACCTCCCGCGAGTGGCCGCCGGAGGCCGCCAGCACCACGTCGGAGAAGGCGTTGCTGGGCCCCAGACGGGAGATGTCCGCCAACAGAGAGCCAGCCATGGCTCTCTAACCGCGCGGCGGACACGGCGGGCCCAGGCTCACCCTAGATGTCCTGGTAATAGATAGCATTAACTGAATGGATGAAACTTGATAACTGAATGGATTGCACCCGAGATATGATTGCAACCTGAATTTTGGAAAAATAGATGGCAATGGCAACGTGAACCAAACTATGCCATCTTCAAAGTGACCCAAACAGGACACCCATTTTCACAAGCCTTTGGAAAGGTGTACGGCCAAACCAACCCTGCAAGCTTTACCTGGCACGGCAACGCAGGCATGCAGGCAGCCTCGCAGCTATGAGGCCGTGGCCAAGAAAACGAAGAACTTCATTTGGCTGCACATCTCCTGCAGTGCCCACACTCAGGGCAAAGCGCCGAATTCTGCGTGAAAAGCCGGTATTGAGGCCCAGCACCATACAAATCCAAAAAGCCCAAGCCCAACCTGTTCACACACACACACGCACACAAGTCACAAGATCCGCTGCGTTGACCCGCCGCCGCCCGGCCGCGTCCTCCGCTTCTTCGATCTGGCAAACAACACGCGTGACAGGGGGCTCCGCAGAATCAGGTGCTTGGGGGCGAGGTCCATTGGAAACCACCTCCCAACACGTGGTCAAGCTCTCAGCTCATTTTCGCCGAACGCTCGGCGAGGCTCACTCGGAGCAGAACTCCTCCAGCCACTTTAGGCCGGCTTCAGTCGCCCCGCGCGGGACATATTCACAGCCGATGAAGCCTTTGTAGGCCTTCAGTGCAACAGCGCTAACGCAAAAACCCTCCCCTCTTGGTCTGTTTTCCTGCGCCGCCAAGATGTCACTTGACCTTTCTCTTACACATCTGTGTAAAATTGCAATCTCAAGAGCCCCCAGCCCAAAAGATTGTTTCCTTCCAGCTACCTTTCCAAAATGTCCAAACCGTAAAGAACATGTGGTCAAACCCATGGCCTTTGGTCCCGTGCACATGCCCGAGCCAAGCTCCGCCCAAGCCACTGTTGTCTTAGCTGTGCACCCAGCGAGACACATCATCGAGCCTTTTTCCTGCAACCTGCAGCCAAGCCACAAGCTCTTCCCTCAGCACGTGGAAGAGGTGCGGAAAGTTCACCTCCTGCCTGCCAAATGAAAGAGTGTCCAAAATATTAGAGACCCTCCCAGATTTGCGTTGATTCCTTTGAGGTCTTTTCAAATTGAATCCAAAATGGCTTGACACATACCAAAAATGCCTACATCAAGCTGCAGAGGTCACGTAGAACGTTCTGCTACCGTCAGGGAACTTGCTTGCTGGCATCCACAAAGGAGCATTGAATCGGTCGTCCAGACGTGCTCAACAGCGTTTCAACCCATCACAAACGGGCTTCACCGACACATTGAGCGAAATACTAAGGCGAAAAGTGAAGTTGCAAAGCAGGCACGCACCAAGGGCAAATCTGACATTGCAAGATCGAGGAACCAGTGGAGCGTTGAGCTTTGCGCCGCCTTTGTGGCCACGGGACGTCCCTCATGTTCTCCTGAAAAGCTCGCCCAAAACACAGAAGGCCTCCCATCCGAAGACCCGCATGGCCCACAAAGAGGTCCACTGACAGCCAGTCTTCCGTGGATTCCGAGTTCCAAACCGGTGGCTAGGCGACCGGAAGCTGTCGGATGGTGACTCGGACCTGCGATCTGGCTCGTGGCGGTCCGGCACCCCCGCGATCTGCACGTGGCCGATGAGGTCCTGCCAGGAAGGGTCCACAGGTGACCCATGCGAAACGTACAAAACCGCCGCTTTGCTGTTGGAGGCATCAAAATGTTGGATTAGTGTAAAGGAATGGATGGGTTAGTTCCCGTATCCGAAGGCAACCGGCCCGGATACCACGAAAGAGCTCCTTTGAGACTCGCAGCTGCTATGTTTCAGTTCGGAACAGTGGGGTGACTGAAAAGATAGTGGAGCACTGCCGGGCCACTGTCACATTCGAAAAACTGTCCCATGGATGCTGGTGACCGCTTTCCACATTTGGGAGCTTGTCAATGGCAAACAGCAAAGGCGAGGAAATCCTTTCGTAAACAGCTAGCTTGTGGATCATGCAGGTGCGTTCGCAGTACCAAGCTCACCTTATTTCCAGGGCTCTGACAATCGTTCGCGCCAACTGTGCGGCTAAGGCGCGGCATACTTCCGCAGGTTCATGGTCAAATCACCTCAGGCATTCAAAATGATGCCAGTCATAAACCATCACTGGCAATCCACATATCCCGAATCCCGTCTCCCCCAGTTCCCTGGCGTCTGCCACGGCTTCCGAGCCGGTGCAGTCCGCAGAAAGTCTTTGGAGCTCGCTTCAAGCTGCCACTTTGCTGCGCCATTGGTCCCCCTGAGTAACACAACGGTTCCCCTTTTGGATGCAGGTTTTGATCCAGGCCCAGCCTTCCAAGGCAAGCGGCCGTGCAAGATCTGGCAGTGGAAGACGTCGAAGAGCAGCTTCAGTTTGCCCCTCTGCTCCTCTGCCAGCCCAGCAGCCACCTCCGAAATGGTCGCTGCAGCTTCTGGGAAGGAGGCCAAGTGGTACCCGGGCCTTGGCCGGGCAGGAAACACACGTGTGCATTCGAAGAAGGGGCCGGGTGAACATTGGAGCAACGCATGTTGGCCTCAATCCCCTTAATTCCTGAACAGTTTTGCTTGACCCCCCAACAACGCCCCCTGCCCGAATTGCCGGCACAAACGCCGAGCCGGTCATTGCGGAAGATTGGCACAATGCACACCAAAAGCATCGACAGTTGTTCTGCAGTCCGAAGCACCGGCAGTCCAAAGCACTTTGTCAGCCCTTTCTGCTACTTGCGGATCTATGAACCTTTCTTTATCGCCCCCCGGGGCGCACTGCCATTTTCGGATGTGGGGAAACCCAAGTTGCCGATGCTTCCCGCCAATGTTCAAAAACAAGCTGAGAAGGTGAGATTATTATTTCACCTTGAATTTAAAGCACGCCCACTTAGCCAGGGGGTAGACAATTCAGATTACATTTTCAGCCCGCAAACCCCGCCCATTGTCTCCAAGCGAGCGGTCGGCAAAGGCCGAAGATGAATTGTAGCCTTACGTTGATCCCCTTCGCAGGGGCCTGAAGCGAATCCCGAATCTTGCGCAGAAGTTGGCTCACATTCCGGATCCGGCCGAGCAGCATGCTGCGCTGGTTGATGGGCTCGATGACCACCTGTGTCACAAAGGTGCCCAAGCATTTCCCCCCCCCCTTGACCAAGACGGAACCCAACTGGGGGGTCACTTGTAGAGGAATATGCTCTTCCGGACCTAGGTTCCATGTTAATGGAGAGTAAATCATCCCCAGCTGCTAGATCCAAGGCCAGCATGCAGCCAAAACAAGAATGATCCAACCCGTCTGCAGGCATCGGAGCTGCTGAAGCGACGAATTTCTCATTGAAGCTGTGCCAAACTTGAAGTCAGGATGCCCAAAAAGAACAGTAGCCCACTAGACTGGAGACAACATATTTATGTAGCCGCAACATCCCTCCTCTGCTTCGTCCAGAGGACATCCTACAGCCTTCCCACGGCACTTGCGACCGGCCCCACATTCGCTGGCCTCGGCACCCTGTGCCCCCAGCACTTCCACTGCGCGGGCCAGATTGGAGCCTGGGCGGATTTATCGCGGGAATTCTCAGAAGATCCTGGATTTCCATTGCCAAAATCAAACTCTGGCGGAGTGCAAAGCCAATCAAACCGCAGCAAGAGGCTCAAGCGCAGCGTCCGCGGGTTGAAGCTGAGAAGCGGTAGGTGTCGCGGCAGCCATGCAGGCCAGCCAGGCAGTGCACCCGCGGGCACCGGAGCCTTGGGATCCGAGAGAGTCGCGTGGTGCAAATCACCGCACACCACTGCGCACAGCGCAAGCTGACCTCGAACAAAGAATAGACTCAAGAATTGAGCTGACCCCGGAGCACGACTCAAATAGAGAAACTCCAGTTTGGGTTGCTCGCTAGCCTTTGGCAGTATCACATAAGTGCTTGTCTGCCAGAGACATGAAGAGCATGACTCATCCACACCTGCAGCTTGGAGCTCGCTTCTAGTGAATACCTCGACAAGAAAAAAACGATGCCTTGCACGGGAGGCACCTGATCAAGAGCGCAAGCCATTACCACACAAGAAAACTCCCTGACCATCTGCTTCAACAGGTAGCCTTGATTGAAAAGCAATAAAATAACATCCGATATGCCGGACCCCGCCATACCCCCACCTATCCACCTCACACCCACCCCACCCCCCCTTCGTTCGAGGCACGGCTTCACGTACTCCGCCGCCTGCTGCAACGCCGCCTCGAAGTCGCCTTTTCGCGCCGCCTGCGCTGCCAGGCCCCGCTCTCCGGCCGCCCAGTCGCCAGCCTGGTGGATTCCCAAAAGGGGACCGCGACAGGTCTCCGATTGGGGGATGTTCCCCTCCCTGTGAAGGTTGGCCACGCATGGGACATCCCCAACAAAGCCAACCAGGAAATATGAATTTCGGATTCTCGCTGCGCACGACCCTGGTAGGAAGGGCTTGTAAGGAGGCTCCTAAAAAGAGTCAAGTTGTGGTTTTGTCGACCACCCCGGCCAGGTGTGACATGAAACTCTACATGCTGTGGGTCATGAACCTGTGCTACTGATTCCGATCTAAAATGCGCTGCGTTGTGCCATTTCTGGGTGTGGTCATCTCCCTTAGCCAACGATTGGCTGCGTTGGCTCATTGGTGGCCATGTTTGATGGCCGGGAGGTGGAATTCGCCCAGTCTGGCACAGCCTAGATGTCGCAGCTTCTTGGGGACCCTGTACAAAAATGGGTCGGATGTTTTGACACGCAGCCATGTGCCTGTCTTGCAATAAGTTGAAGGCTCTCCAACGGATTGCTCCTCTCAAAATCCACCAAAAGCTGTTCCTGAAAGCATTCCAATGGTTGCATTTTGGGCGGCTAAAAACAGCCCAACTTTGCACGGCCTTTCTCCAAAGAACACTTCGGGGATGGACGTCCACGTCAGATATATAAGGGCTACTTAATGCCGGTTCCCTTATGCGTTTCATACCTGGGGATCGCATTCAGAAATGATCTTTAATCTTGGAGGAGATACGCTCAGCTGAAGGCCTGGACACTTAATTTCAGATCATGGGCCCCGGAAAAACACAACCCCATTTGTGGATGCCCAGGCTGCAGCCAGCGTGCGGCACAGATCCCTGCCCCCTCACCCCCTGCCCAAGCCGGCCGGCATGTTGAAGAGCACACACTCGAGGCCCTCGGCATCCAAAATGCTCGCAACCTGCGAACGGGCCGCTGTCGGCACATCCAGCCACTTCTCAATCTGAAAACCATCAGGGTAAGATGTGTGATGTGTGTCAGTTGTTTGCCTTTTTCCGCGACACTTGTATGCGTATGTTCGGTGATTTGTCCTTTGCTTGGGATGTTCCCTCGTTCTTGTCCACTTGCCAGGCGGTTGGCCGTGTCCTTGGGGGTTTAGGCCGGGTTTAGGGTTGGTTGAGCAAGACGGGCTCAAAGTGAATGTCGGGTTAGGTTAGGGCGGTCTCAGGGTGCTGGCTTGGGGTGCTTACTTACGGCTTGGGTTGGCTGATGGTGTAATTTAGAGTCCAGGTTGCAGCTTGGTAAAAGGGGTTGATCTGGGTGTGATTCAATTTTCGGGGTGGGTTGAGGCGCAGGGCTTAAGCAAAAAGGCAGCGCAAGAGCCGTAGAAAACCGTCATAAACGTCGCAAAGGTCGCCAAAGCCAACCGCTAAAGCCCCGGGCCCCACAGCTTGACACTAACGGGTCCTCCCAGCCTCTATTTCGAAAGAAATCGGTCCCAAATTGGGGGAAAGGACCTTCCTCCAATCCACGCCTCCTGTGGGGAGTGCTGAAAGAGCTCCGGCGTTGAGATCTCCACGGCCCCGAAGCCGCAGCGCTTGGCGGCCTTGAAGCGCTCCAGGAACCGCAGCTCCTGGCCGCGTGGGGCGGAAACGGGTTGGGAAGGGACAATGGCTCGTGGCGGGGGGGGAGGGGGGTTGGTTGCGGGAAGGGGGGGGGGCCTGCTTTGGTTGCTTCTGGTTGCCCCGGGTCTTTCCCTGCCCAGCAACTCGCGGTGGTTCAGAGTGCTTGCCCAAATCAGCAGAGCAAAATGATCTCTCCAGTGCAAAAGGAGCCCGTCTTCTTTTTCCGGCACAATCAGGCAGGAAGCTTGTCGAGAAGAACCCGACGGCTCCCTCTCAGCGTTCATTCTTCTCACAAACCTCAACGTGTTCAACTTTTTTCCAAACAAGAATGAGTCGAGAAGGCACTGCTGCAGATTGCGCCCCAGAGCGGTACACCTTACTACCATGGGAATGGTCTGGGAATGTGCTAGCAGCTCATGATTCACAATCAAAACACAAATTCCATTCATGGCAAGATTGGACACTGCTGTTGGTTCACTTGGAAGACTCCGACTCCTTGCAAGCCACAAAATTGCATATCTTCTCATCTGCACCGTCACCACATTTCTTTGTGCCCTGACCCAAAGCAAAACAGTGGACAGCCCCCTTGCCGTGACGAGTGTTGTACACACAGAGGCGCCTCTAGATCTGCCGAATAGGGGCAGCGGGGAAACTACATATTACTTTCTCAATGCTAACCCCGTATGAATCAACCTGCCGCGTTGACAGGGCGTTTGGACCCCGGTTCAAGCAGGCCCACTCTCGGCCTGAAAGAGCATGGCCAGGTTGGCCGAGAAGCCAGGAAAGCGCGCCATCGACAAACACGCCAAAGCCGCCAAAGCAATGTGGTAACTGCGTCTGCGTCCCACGCTTGGGATGATCTCACAAAACACTCGAAGAATTCCCTACAAGAGCGCCCTGTCATGGACGGCACTCTGAAAGCACGAATCTCCAGAGTTTACCTCTGCTTCGATTGAGTTTCGCACATGTTGCACCAAGTTGAGTTTTTGCGTTCTGTAGTTGCAAAACACTGAGACCCGACTCTTGTCAAGCCTTGAACCGCTGGATGAAAGCGCCTACGATCACCAGTGGCTCACAAACATAGCAGGATACAAAATTCCTGTCTTGCTCAGCAAACGAGGATGCACACCCTCAAAAGTATCAAGTTAGAGTCTAGGGCCAGAAGATTCCATGCCGCTGGAATCTTCCACTGCCAAGTATATCGGCGCCTCTCTATCCGGCAAGCGTTCGATGCATGTATCCAATCTCAGCTACGAGTCTCGTGACCCTGTGACCAAGCCCGGTGCCTGGAGGAGTACGTAAGGTGAGAAAATCCAGTTTGGGCCGAAGCGCCTGGCGACGAAGCAGCAGACTTCCCGTGGCGTGTGTCTGACATCCATCAACACCTTCCACATGGCAAGGTAGCAGCCAAGGATGTCATGGACAAGACGCCGTTTGCGCCAGGCTGCTGAAGTATTTGCTCGGCCGCTGATTCCAGCTTTCAACTCTCAAAGACTAGAAAAACAAGCTACTGCTGTTGCAAGCGTAAGCTAAACAGAAGACCTTTCAAATTTGCCATCCGCATATCATGCTTGGGTGCAACAATTCAGGTCCCGAAACCCCACGCCATAGCCATGGCTTCCCTCAGGTGAGAAACCCCCTAGACCTCAAGCCTAAGCCTGGCTCAGCCGCTTAGCCCCGCCTCCGGCCGTTTGGTCAGAGAGGGCTTGGCAATTTTCTAGTTCAGGGGTACCTGGAAGCCGACAGATCTCGCTCCCTCTCACTGAAGCCATTGCTTCTGACGGTGGCCGCAGCCTCGTGTCTCCTTGAACAACAATCGTTAACAAAGGCATGCCCAAGCGCAAGCCAATCCGATCGCCGAGGCTCACCAACGTGAATAGTCGCTCTCGGAAAGAACCTGGGCGGTAAGATGCTTTTGAGCCCATGGTTCATTTGGGCCACTCCCCTTCAATCACGAAGAACCATGCGGTTCTAAAGCGCAGGAGCCCCGGAGCCCGTTGAATCCTTGCCTTGCCTCCCAAACCGCCCAAACCGCATACCTCTGGGGGGCCCGGGCGGGGTTTGGATGGGCTCAGCGCACCCACGCAAGGCCGTCGCGCGGGGAGGAGGTGCGGCTGAAGGGCGGGCGCCGCACACTGAAGCCAAAAGAAGCCGCGCGAGGGCCACTGCTGGGGTGGAGGGCAAATGGTGGTAGGACCAGGAAGAACTAGAGACCATAGCTTTGAACATATACCTCTTCCTGGCTAAGGCGAAACAAATACCACTTGGCACGAGGCCACGCTTTGAGCTGTGCTAGTTTTGCCAGTCCGAGTCCTAACTTGTTTGATTCGACCGAACGCATGGCGCATGGCTTCTTCTTGAAGAGGAATCAATGTGTCGACCTAGGGTCGGGACTCCTCCAGTCAAAACAACGCCTGGAGCCCTCGACGCGGCCACGCCTTCAAGAGCTCCAAAGCTTTTTGAACTGGCAGTGTCGGTGGTTCTCAGCCGTCCCGCCACGCCGCTCCTAAAACTAGGAATTCCACGGGGCGCCATGACAGATGTCTGCCCATGGCCCTCGTCTGCGTGCAGGTCGTGCAATTGACGTGACCGGCAAGCACCAGGTCCCAACACAGCACACCCCAAACACGGGCTTCCATGAGGCCAAGAGAATCGCATGGTCGCATGGTCACGGTCACAATTTGGCGAGTCAGACGGAGTCAACATGCCAAAGGTATAAACAAGGCCGGGGACTCCACACCGCAACGTTCCTAAAGGGCGTTGGCAGGATTCGGGGGCAGCTGATACCTCAGTGGCGGCCGAATGTGGCCCTGCAGCCCCCGAAAAAGGAGGCCCCTAGAAGCCTAGGGCGCATGGTCCTTTTCACCATGGCACCCTGAAAGGCGGAAAGTCGCCCAGGAAGCCACGCGCAGCTCGAAGATTTGACATGGCATCAGGCCTTGCACTTGGACGCTTCAACTGCCTTGACGTTGGCAACTGAAATCATCCCGAAATTCGGGGTAGCATCACATAGCCAAGACCTTCAAGTCCCAAGTGTCTGCCCGCTGGCCGCGAGCTGAAAGCCAGCCCTGTCAAAGATACCTGCGCGCCTCGCAAACCAAAAAGCTTTCACGTGAGGATGGCTCCCGGGGCCAAAGGCAATGCGCTTGCGCTTGCGCGAGCGCGCGCCGGGGTTTCTGGAAAATTGAGGCAACCAAAAGAGGCAATGGCCGCGGCGGGGATCCAGAAACTCCGAGAGTCTGCCTTCAAACTTGCGAGACTGCCTAGATGCGCAACGCGGTCAAGGGGAGAGCCCCAGAAGTGCTGAGTATGCAAGGCATCCAAATTTCAATGTGCCCCATCATCTCTAAGTGTTCCTCATGTCTAAGTTGCGTAGCCAACTCGCTGCATGTTGAACACGAGTCTTCACAGCTCGGTGCCGACGCCAGCAACTCTCCAGTTCTTGGACTCCTATCCCAAGCCGCGATCAGACATTTTCGGCAGGCTAGCCTCAGGCAGCGAGAGAATGAGGCTTGTTGGCAGGGAACCTGAGCTTGCTGGAGGTGTTCTGTTTCCGCGGGATTCTGCAAATGGGGCAATCAGAGGAGAGGGCACAGCGGTCAATCTACGCTCCCACCAACTAACATGGAGCAGGGGCCTTCTGGTGGCGTCCATGTCTGTGGGTGGAATGATTCTTCAACTTTGGGAGAAGAGCCACGATTCAGGCGGGAATGTGGGGAGACATGTTTGGGCATGCGCCTGTGCTGACATTGTCCTGCTTTGAGAGCACACATGCAGTTGTGAAAGCGCACTAGGGCTCTACAGCGTGAAATGTGTTGCACACACAAGTGTAGATACAGAAGAATGTGTGTGTGTGTGTGTTTGTGACTGCCACCCTTCCACTATGCATGGTAGGAGTGAGTAAACACGAATTATGGAATAGCCATGCTAGTCCGCTGAGGAAGGAGCGAAACATGCCCCGACAGTTGTTTCAGACATCAATATCAGTCACAATTGAGGGCCGGCCGGAAAGGTGCTGCAACCACCATCAATCTGTCCCTTCCTATCCAGGTAGCTTCTCCTTTGCAGACTACATGGCGCAGCAGCATCAGCATAGCATCAGCATCAGCAGCAGCAGAAGCAGCGGAGCCGCGCTTCTCTCCGTCGCGGCTGTGGCATTTTTCCCCGCGCCCCAAGTCGACAAAACCGGGCGGGAGAGCCTTCCGGGCGCATATAAACGCGGCCCCCAAGGTCCCGGGGAAGAAAAGCAAAGCGGCGCGGCTCCGCAGCCTGACCGCAGCTATCGCACATTCAGGTTCACGTTCACAGCTGGCTGCACAGCCACCTGGGCGCGTTGTCTCAAACTCAGGGCCTATTGATGGGTATTTTGAGGCCAAGAGAAGGCTAGTAGGTAGCCGCGAACACGGTCCGAGCTGAAAGGCATGCCCGACATGCTTCTGGCCATGACAGTGCTCCAAGGCCCCCGCAAGAGGTGGAACGGGATGCTCGCGGTAAAAGTCGGCAATGGAGCCATCGTTGATGATCTCGGCGTGCGAAGATGCGAAGCGATGGGGAGCGAAGTGCCAAGGCCAAGAGAATGGATCTCATGCCGGAGGCAATGCAATCTCGATTCCCGTGGCTTGTGCTCCTTCATGTGCGTGTCAACTGTGAATCCAATGGCAAAAAACACACACACACCCCGCCCCCAACTCCCAGGCCCCATACGACTGGGACGCCCCGGCCCCCAGGTTCATGTCAGCTGGGTGGCTGGGAGGGCCCAGCGGACCCTCGGAGAAGACCTGCAGCTCTTGGGATTTTGTCCATCAGCCAAGCCGAGGAGTGCTGCAAAACATTCGTCGGGCCCAAAGATTCAGGCGAGCTTGGTGTGCTTGCTCGAAGTCTCCCTTGGCAACGTTCGACACCTGTTTCCGGCACGCGCCTGCAGGTTACCTTTACCCTCCGGCCGGATCAGCACATGGAGCGCAGGATCCAAAGACCTGAGACTTACCCGAAACTCGGTGTCCTTTGGGAAGATGGCGCAGGACCCAAACTGAAAGGTGGAATCCACGCTGTTTTGACATAAAAAGGACTCCTGCCAGAAGCCAACATCTCCAGAGTAGCCGCGCCCGGCCACTTTTGAAAATTGGCTTTGCGTGGGAAGTTGCTGGTACTCTTTGCACCTTCGTCGCCTGCGTCCTTTTGAATTCCTCTAAACAACAAACCCCAAAACGTTACCCTCAAAAGCAGGCATGCCCATACATGTTGGTTGGAACCGTGATGGCCATGCCGCTTGAGGAGGTTCCACGTTGTTCCGGTTCAGCAGGTGAAATGCATTGAATCGCTGCCGGGCTTGACAAACTGGATCTTCTGAAAACTCAGTTGGAGGTGTCCTTCTCAAGGGCCCTTTTTTCAACCTCCCTCACCTCTGACATTGGGCAACAACTGAGAGGTCCTCTCTCGAGGCTCCAGCACTTGCACGCCATGTGCGCGTCTGCTGATCAGGTCCCTCAAGCGACCTCAGCCATCAGCACCAAAACCCCAGGCCGGGAACCTGCAGGAAGCTTAGGTAGATGCCAAATGCCAGGAAAGCACCAAGGCGCTGCTCACTCCCATTCCGCAACTTAATGTCCAACAGGGGTGGCTGGCAAGGGGCCTCCCATTTGCGGCTCCCATGCAGCTTCCAATGCAACTTGAAGCCATGCTGCATCCATGCTACAGTATGCTTGCCCAGCTGGGTAAGAACTCACAAGAGTGCAGTTTTTACATGACGCCAGCAGCC